CTTTTGTAAATAGTGCTGCTAGGAACATTGATGTGCATGTATCTTTTCGAATTAGAGCATTCGTCTCTTCCAGATACGTGTTATATATGCCCAGGAGTGGGATTGCTGGATCATATGGTAGCTCTATTTTTAGTTTTTTAAGGAACCTCTGTACTGTTTTCCAGTTCTCTTGTGTGTTATAACCAGGTTTGTGGGTTACATTTTATCTTATTTTTAACTTTTTAAAATATTTATTTTATTTTTGTTTATTTTATTTTTGGCTGCATTGGGTCTTTGTTGCCACGCGTGGGCTTTTCTCTAGTTGCGGCGAGCGGGGGCTACTCTTCATTGCGGTGCGCAGGCTTCTCATTGTGGTGGCTTCTCTTGTTGCAGAGCACGGGCTCTAGGCACGCAGCTTCAGTAGTTGTGGCACGTGGGCATTAGTAGTTGTGGCTCATGGGCTCTAGAGCGCAGGCTCAGTAGTTGTGGCGCACGGGCTTAGTTGCTCCGCGCCATGTGGGATCTTCCCGGACCAGGGATCGAACCCATGTCCCCTGCATTGGCAGGCGGATTCTTAACCACTGAGCCACCAGGGAAGCCCCACATTTTATTTTAAAACCCAGCATTAGATACAGCTCAGGACAAGAGAGACTGCCCACACACACCTTAACCCGCACCCAATACATACTGTCTTTCCTGCACATACATGACTTTATAGTCACAAGAGGCCAAACCAGCCAGCTCAGCGTCCCCCAGGAGCCCTCTGTCATGTCAGAACCCAGACCTCCTCACCCCTCTTATCAGAGCTTTTTCACAGAATCACACCCAAAACTTGGTTTGCAACACGAGACACAGGACACCCGGTTAAAGTTGAACTTTGTACACATAATGAATAATAGAGTAGTGTAAATCCCCTGCAATATTTGGAACATACATATACTAAAAAAAAATAAATAATAATAATCATGTGTGACTTACCTGAGATTCAGATTTAACTGGGCGTCCTGCATTTCTGTTCACTGAATCTGGCAGCCCTAGGAACTCGGCTGGGAGGTGCCTATTCACCCCCCACCCCTCACACCCCACCCAGTCACCCCTCCCACTCCCTCAATCTCTCTGTGCCTTCCAGGGACCCCGTGGTTTGGCCAGCCCTGCTCTCAGCAGCCTCTCCCAAGGCCCTCATGGATTTGGGCTGCTTCTTACTCTGGGACAGGCCCCCCTCCGCTCTCACACCACATCCTGCTGAGGTGCAGGGGCCCCCTCCCTGCACCCCCATCACCCAAGGGGTACACCTGGAGCCACATCCGCCGCTGAGAGACGGGCCTGCTCCAGGCCCAGTGGGGCTGAGACACAGACATTTTGTTTTAACACTCATTTTACAAATTGTGGTAAACTACACATAACATAAAATCTACCATTTCAGCCACTTAAAACTGTACAGCTCAGTGGCATTAAGCCCATTTGTGCTGTTGTGCAAACATCACCACCATCCTCCTCCTGAACTTCTTCTCTTCCCAAACTGAAGTTCTGTCCCCATTAAACACTCCCCCTTGCCCGCTGCCCCAGCCCCTGGCACCCTAACCAAGGATGTTCTGAGGGTAAGAAATTCTGAAGATGTCCAGCCAGGACGAGGCTGAGAAGGATGCCATCCGGTGCGCATCCCCAAACCCCACCCCCCGTGGGGCCCCTGATGGGAGGCAGAGGCTGATTCTAAGTAGTACCCACACTGGCTGGGCCGGCGAAGTCGCCCCTGGGGTTTCCTGAGTATCCTGGCCCTAGACTCAGCCCCTCCTGGATGGCGTCCATGTGGTCACTCCACATGGCTGTGTCCTTCAGGGGACTTAATATTTTTCCATGGAACGGGCTCTGATGACGTTACTAATCAGGGAGGTGGAGAGGCTGTAGCTGTTCTCCATGTGCCGGGACTGTTGCCTGTGCCCCTGCTACCCAAGAGCGGGGAGGGGGAGGGGGAGGGGGGAAGAGGGGGAGTAAAGGGGAGGGGTGGATGGAGAGGAGGCGGCGGCGCTGTGGGCGACGGGCAGCAGCTCCCTGGCAGGGCAGACTCTCCAAGTAATTAGTTTTTAAATCATGCAGACGGTTCAAGACCCACTCACTCTGCAGGTTTAATTATTTACTCTCCCTTTTTATTCTCATCATTTACAGTCGTCCTCTCTGAACTGGAAGGAAGATGTTTTCTCCGCCGGCGTCTTGGCATTCCTGCAGCTGTGATTTCTCCAAGGCCCAGCGGAACCCCCTGCTTGCCGGGGAAGCAGCGGCTGCGCAACTGGACAGCGCTGCCCACAGGACCCTCAAGGGCTGGCCGGGCCCCCGAGCATGGAGGATGGCCTGTAGCAGGCGTGGCCCCGGAGCCAGTCCTGGGAGCGCGGGGCAGAGGCTCTGGCTGGCCGGACCTGTGAGAGGATGAGTCCCACCTCCAGGGGTGCGGGGAGGAGAGCCTGGTGCAGGCGGGCGCTCACCCTGCAGTGCTTGGCCTGGGAGAGAATCAGCCCCCATCGTGGCCTGGCCCCCGACCTCTCCCCACCTTCCAGCCTCTCTGCCTCCTGGTTCCTCCAACTCTGAGCTCCCTCGTGTCTCAGACCTTTGCACAAAGGAGGACCTTCCTGATGCCGCCCCAGAATGGGTTGGGTCCCCCCATTATATGACCCTGCAGCCCCGAAGTTCTCCATCCAGCACTTAGCACCACAGACAATACATAACCATCGGGCCCTCGGGGCCTCCGTGTCTGGCATTTTCCGGATGGCCTATGTTGTACGTGCTAACTCTGTAGGCAGAAAGTAGTGTTTACAAATGGGGGGGCCGCACCCATAAATACAGATCCGAAGGGAGAGCCCCGAGTCGGCTGATTTCTATCTGGCTTCCTCCCCAGGTGGAGCCTACCTGCCTCGGGTCCGCGCCGGATGCACACGAGGCAAAGTAGGTCTGGGCAAACCCAAAGGCTACCTGTTGATTTTCTGACTTGTCCAAACACTGCAGCCCAGAGCAGGGGAGGAGGTGACACAGGACACCTGGGACTTGCAGCCCCATTGGGACATCTCAACCCAACCGCCCCCCCGCCAAGCAGGTGTTCAGGCCAGCAGGAGGCTGTGGCTCCCCCCCCCGGGACTTATTGGTGACAGCCCAGCCTGGATCTTGAGGTCTTCTAGGAGCCCCTTGGGCCAGAGAGCCTGAGGCTGGGGCTCCGAGGGTCAGGAGAAGGTGGTGCGGGGTCTACGCAGGGACGAACTCGCTTAGTCTTCCCAGGATCCCCCTGGGAAGCACAGCACGGGAAGTACTGTGTCTTTGGAAACCCCTCACTCCCAGGCAAACTGGGACATTCAGTCACCTGGACCTACAGCAGGGGATTTGATTGGTTGGGTAGAAGGCGGGAGAACTCATCACTGGGCCTTCCTGGGCTGCCCTGGGATGGGAGGTGCAGATGAGCTGGGCGGAGATGACGGCCCGGGCCCTTCTTGGTCCCGGACTCAGGCGGGCTATCGAGGTGACAGCAGTGTAAGGGGCAGGGAGCCGGCTGGACATGGTAAGCAGGCCCCTCGGAGGAGGCGCACGGCTTGGAGCCGGTGTCAGCCCCGGAGGGTCAGGGCCACAGAGAGAGGAGCTGCTGGACAGGCATGGCCGGCAGGGGCGGCAACGGGGATGGTCTTAGTCTGGAGGAGGAATGGGGGCTTCAAGTGTAGGAACTGCCAAGAGCTACAGCCGAGGAATCCAGGGATGGGGCAAAGCCGGCAGAGCCAGGAGCGCCTTCAGATGCTGGCCAGCAGGGTCGCAGCCCCGCGCGGGGGCCAACCCTCCCCTCCCCTCCCCTCCCCTCCTGAGCCCACAGCAGACGTGGGCGTCGATGACATGCCTCGGATCCTGGAAGGAGAGGCTCCGTGTGGCCACTGCCCATCGGCTCATTTGGAGATGAAATCCACTCATCTTCTCCAGAAGGAGCCAACCTGCCTGACAAAAGGGCCCGGGGGGCCCCGAGGGGCTGAGACGATCCTGAGGCGGCCTGACTTGCTGGCGGCAGAGCCTCGAACCCAAGTCACCAGTCCCAACTCAGGGCTTTCCTGCTCCCCACCTTGGCTGCCTGCCTTGTCCTGAAGCCTGAGACGGGGTAGGGGCAGGCATGGGGGGTATCGTGGCTTGAACAGTGACCCCTGACTCCCCCAGTTCATGTCCACTTGGAACCTCAGAATGAGGCCTTATTTGGAGACAGGGTCTTTGCAGATGTTAAGATAAGGACCGAGATGAGGTCACCCTGGATTAGGGTGGGCCCGAGATCCAATGAGAGACAGAGAGACACAGAGGTCCCGTGAAGGAGGCAGAGATTGGAGTGACGCAGCCACCGAAGCTGGAAGAGGCAGGAAGGCTCCTCCCTGGACCTTCAGAGGGAGCCCGGCTCTGCCCACACCATGACCTTGGACGTCTGGCCTCCAGACTATTAGAGAATCCATTTCTGTTGCTTTAAGCCCCCCAGTTCGTGGTGATTTGGGACAGCAGCCCCAGGCCACTCCGCCACGAGGGAGAAAGGGGCTGGTGAGGCCTGCGCACAGCTAAGAATCCGGACCCGGACCCCCAGCCTCGCTCCCCGGCTCTCGGGATGCAGAGAAAACCTCGCGTGGTAGCCTCTTACAGTCTAGTCTTTTGGGGGCCAAGTTCTCTTGGAATAAATTGGTATGAAATTATTGTCAAATATCGACCCGCTCATAGAGCTCACTGCAATAGATTTCAATTTTAACAAGAAAAACATTTCCAGGGATACAGTGATAGAAACAGCTCACAGCACTGCCCTGTGGAAACCCTGCAAAGCCTCCTCGTAATGAATAAGTTAAGATTCTCTGTTCTCTTTTCAATCATCCCCTTAAATCAGTGCTTCTGAGTCCCTGAAACCTTTCTTCCCCCCCCGCCCCGGGAAAGGAGATGAAACAGTTCCCCAGCGATCACTTTCACGCTATGTTCACGTTCATCTGAACTTCCAGGGTCAGAAAAGAGAAAAAAAATCCCCACTCCAGAGCCTCCTGGGTTTGCATTTGGAACATTTATTTCAGGAAATACATTTTCAACACTTTGTTATTTATACAAAAAGAGACGAATTTCTCAAGAGGCACATAGCGAAAGGCCACTGTGGAACAGATCCCAGGGAAACTAACAATGTTTCAAAATCTGGCTACAGACAAGGAAAGCGAAGGCATCCCGGGACAGAGGCTGCGACCCCGACGCTGGAGACAGACACGTCTTTCAACATCTTGGTTTTGGCAAAAATGGCAAGTCGGCAAGTAAACTGTTTCGCTAAGGGGTCCTTCCTCTCTTGGGTGGGGAGGGAGCAAACACGCAAAGCGATGACACTCGCACGCACGCGGACGTGTGCACACACACGCACGCGCGCACATGCCAGGTCAGTCTGCACCCACCCCTCCCACCACATTTCTCACCAAGCCAGGGGTCTGCAGATGGCCGTGCATCTCCCCGTGTCTAAGCTCACAGGCCTGAGCCGTGCAGACGTGAAGCCTGCTCTGTAGCCCTGCAGTGGGCCATGCACACCCGACCCCTGGCCAATCCCTCCTTGGGGTCATTACGATGGGCTCCGGGGTGCGGGGGGGAGGTGAACAGAGGCCCAGGCAAACTTAGGGCAACACAAAGTCAGGCTTCCCTGGCCTCCCACCTCCCTGGAGGCGGCATCAGCACAGCCTGGGCGGGAGGGCTGAGTGTGCATCTGGGGTGCCCAACTGGGCATTCACTTAACCAGAGCATCTTGGGCCCAATGGATGTCTAAACAGACAGACAGACACAGGCTTCCCCAGTCACACGGGGTGGGGCAGGGCAGCCACCAAGGCCACAAGGGCCACTCTGAGCGTCCCCAGCCATGGTCCCCGTGGCCCACTTCCTTTGGGCACCTGCCAGTACCTCCTCCCTTAGCTTCTGCTCCAGATTCTCTCACTCGGACCTTCCCCAAAACTCAGGCGGGTGGGGTGCACCTTTCCTCTTCCTTTGAATCCTCAATCAAATCCCAGTGGGGGGGGGGTGGGACATGAGGGGAGATGAAGACACACCTCCCTCTCTCCAACTTGTCCCAATTTCTCGTCCAAGGGGACAGCGGGGGAGAGCTGCTGGCTCGCGAGGACGGCTGAGATAAAGGCACTTCCTGCTCCAGGACAGGGGCGCAGGCAGGTGGGCGGGCAGCAGCCAATGGCCTCGCTGCATCTAAAGCAATTGGCAACTTGGGTCTCGTGGAATGAACTGCTCTCCCCTGGGGGTGGGGTGGGGTGCTCTGAGTTGCGGCCAGGGCCATGTGGGGCGGGGTGGGGTGCTCTGAGTTGCGGCCAGGGCCATGTGGGGAGGCAGGGGCAGGCAGGGGCTCCAGGTCCACGAGAATGGCTCCATCCTCCCACGGGCACCACCCTGCCACGCCGCAGAGGCTGTGTCCGAGGGGCACCAAGAGCTGGAGGCCACTCCTCCGGCCCCGGGGCAGGGTCAGGACTGAGTCAGTGGTCCTCCCGCCCCTCCTGGACCTCAGGGACGGCCAGAGAGCCGGCCTCCACTCCGAGGACCCCCCCCCCAGCCCGGGTCCCCATAGTCAGCGGGCTAATGACAAACATACTCAGAGGGCACTCGTCATCTTGTTACTTGGCAGGTATAAAGGGGCGGAGATGGAGGACACATGGAGAAAATTATATAAAATAAAACGGGGCAGGTGGGTGGGGGGAGGGTGGGGGGAGACGGAAAAGACTCGGGGCGGGGTCCCGGGACAGGCGGTGTCTACATCCCCTGGGCTTCTGGAGCCTTCTCCTCGACACCATTGGCCACAGCGCTGCTGCCCTCGTGCAGACGCTTCACGCGATAGGCTTCGAAGTGGATGGTGCTGGTGATGTCCTTGATGTTCTGCATGTGTGTCCTGGGAGGGGCCGGGGGGTGGGTCTCAAGGAGGGTCACGGGCGAGGGCAGGAGGCTGGCCCTGCTCACTCGGCCTGCCCTCCCCACCCCCAATCCCCACTGCTTGGCTCCCCGGGGGTCCCCCAGTGATAGACCAAGACAGACCAAGCCTGGGCAGGGATGTGTGGCGGGGGGGGGGGGGGGGGGTCTCCAGGGCAACCCCAGCTGCTCTCGGGACCATGTGTTCTAACATGTCCCCCTTTCTGTGTCAACCCAGTGGCCAGTCCAGGGACAGGGGCTGAGTGCAGAGGCCCCCGGGCAGTGCGCAGGGCTGGAGCGTCCTTGCTCCCGTTTAGAAAAGCCAGGCCGGCAGCCAGGTGTGCTGGCAGGTAAGGGACAGCGGCTTGCAGCAGGCGGCCGGGGTTGGGGACGCTGGCACCCCGCTAGTCCTGTGTTCAACCTTCCCTTCTCTGCAGCTCAGCAGGAGAGATTTGGAAAGGGCGCGTCAAAAGGGCCCAAGGTGGGCTTCCTTCCTCAGCCAGGCTTTCCAGCATGGCAGGGCTGCTCCTGGAAGCCAGAGCCCCCCAACCTGGAGGCCGTGAGACGGTCCCATCCCTCCTATTGACATTGTCCCTAGCATCCATCCTGCTGGCTGAAAAGCTGGGAGCCCCTGGTACCCTGGTGGGAGCCCCTACCTTCTCTGTTCACCTGCCCAGGCCCAGACCCACCCACCTGGCACCCTCGCGAATGGGCGGAGGACAGGCTACTCCTTGCCTGGGCTCAAGGAAACTGAACAGGGGCCTCCACCAGGTCAGAGGACGCGGGGATGGGAGCTGGGAACCCCCTAACACACGCCCGGCGTACGAGACCTCCGGGGGCCCTGAATCTAATGGGCTCAGCCTGCGGCGATGCAGACTCAACCCTTTCCAAGTAGAAGTAGAAAAGAATTTCAATTCTTGCTTCATTTCCAAGAAGGTGTTTTAGGAAATGGGCCTCCGAGGTCCCTCCCGGGAAGGCAGGCAGACGCGGGCGGCCATGCCGGCTGCTGCTCAAGACCTCCGCCCGGTCCCGCCCCTCCCTCGGCCCCGATGGAGGCCCCTCCGGCGCTCACCTGATGAGGAGGTCCCGCAGGTAAGCAAACTCACAATGCGTGGTGTTCTCGACTGCGGAGAGACAGAAGGGGCTTTAACGTCAGGCAAAGCCCCGTTCCCCCAGTGCTGGGCAGGCAAGCGGAGGAGGGGTCCACCGCGCACAGGGGAGCCGTGGGCACCTTGGCTTCTGCCCTCCGGAGGGTTCTGCTCTAGCAGGGAGATGGCACAGTAACCCGGCCAAGAGGGCCGCGGGGGGGAGCGCTAGGCTAAGCAGGCGGTGGCGGTGGGGCGGCTGCTATGCCGTGGTGACGGGGGGGGGGGGGGGATGTCCCAGGGGAGACCTGAAGACGAGAGGGGGGCTGGGAACGGAATGAGGCAGGAATCAGGGCTGGGACTTCTCCCCCACATGCTCAGGACGCACACAAGGACAGCCGTGTACAGGCCAGGCACCGGGGGTGACTGTTTACACTGAGGTCAAGAACCAGCAGAACTGAGCCGTATGCTGCCTGGGGAAGGTGCGCACGAGGACACACGAGAGCCTCCCAGACCGACAAGCTGCAGAGCAGCGGATAGCTCTGGGGACGCGGGAAGAGGGCAGGGAGGGGTCCCCAGGCCCCCACGGGTACCCTGGAGCGTGCAGGTAGTGCCTTGGGGCTGAAGCTTGCGGCAGTTACTGCCACAGTCCAGAACTACGTGGGAACACTCCGCCTGCTGTGTGGTCAACAGGTGCTAGCACACCTTTTAAAGGGTGGTGAGTGGCATCACTTGGACTGAGGGAGGTGGGCAGAGAAGGCAGAAGGAGAGGCTATTCTCTGCTATTCTGTGGAGGCGTCCAGCCCGGAGGACTTAATCCGACCTTCACACACCCTACGGGATAGCGACTAAGGTTCCTCTTCTGTGCTTGTAGGGAGATGGGGCTCAGAGAGCAAAAGAGATCTGCCCGGGTTCCACAGCCCGTGAGGCCTGGCTCCCTGGTCCAGGCTTCCCCATCCCAGAGCAGCAGGGCCTTTCTGAAGCTTAAAGGGCTGATGAGGCGGCAGGCAGGGCCTCCACTGCTCCTATTGGATTTCACTTGCCTCTTGCCTGGGCTCTGCCCTCCACACCCCTGCCCTCCTTTCTCCCCCCCCCCCCGCCCCTGCAGGGCTGTGCCCACACTAGAATCTTCTGCCAGCTGACTCTCATTTTTTTTTTTTTTTTTTTTTGCGGTACGCGGGCCTCTCACTGCTGCGGCCTCTCCCACTGCGGAGCACAGGCTCCGGACGCGCAGGCTCAGCGGCCATGGCTCACGGGCCCAGCCGCTCCGTGGCATGTGGGATCTTCCCGGACTGGGGCATGAACCCGTGTCCCCTGTATCGGCAGGCAGACTCTCAACCACTGTGCCACCAGGGAAGCCCCTGACGCAGCCTTTTAATCTAACTTGGAGAACCAGTGAGAGCTGGTGGGAAGAACAGAGCTCTGAACCTGGCGTGAGTGTGTTTCTGCCGCCTCCTGGCTTAGGTAAGTTATTCTGGCTTCTCTGACCCTCAGTTTCCTCATCTGTAAAATGGGGATAATAATGCCACCCACCTCTCAGGGACACGAGAGGATTAAATGAGTTAACTGTGTGCTTTATGACACCCGCCTACCTCTTAAAACATTTCAGGAGGCTTCCAAGGATGAGTAAAGTACCTCAGGACGCTGCTGTACACCAAGTCAGAGGAAGAACAAAGAACTAGGACTGGTGGGGGTGGGGATGAGGAGAAGCACTTAATAACTCTGGCTGAGGGCCAGCACAGAGTGGCCAGCTCTCTGGCCAGCTCCCAATTCACAAGGTCCCAGAGATCAAAAAAAAAAAAAGTCCACCAGGCCCTGGGGAAGTTCAACTATTCTAAGATAGGGCAGAAATTCCCTCCAGGGCCTCATGAAAGCTGCTGGGATGTGAGAACCACGACCCCACCACTGTCTTTACAGGTTCCACGGGGCTGTTCCTCATCACCACCCTCAACGTGAGCTGGTGGCACCACGACAACGCACAGGTCATTCAATGCGTGGTATCCCGGCCAGAGCAGGAGAGGGGGACACAGATAACCAGCCTCGCTCATTTCCTGACAATTTCCTTTACCGCCTGCCTGCAGGGCCCTAGCTGGCCGCCAGGGGGCAGCAGAGGCCTGTCAGCTGCCGGGCTGCCCTTCCCTGCCCCTCCCAGGTCCCCATTGGCCCTTTCTTTTTTTTTTTTATTTTTTTGGGGGCTGCCTGCCGGATCTTGGTTCCCCGACCAGGGATCGAACCCGAGCACTCTGCAGTGGAAGCGCAGAGAACTACTGGGCCACAAGGGAAGTCCCCCCCGCCCCCATTGGCCCTTTCTTATCCCGAACTTCTCCACCCTCCAAAACATACCTTCACAAAAAGGTTCCTAAACAGCAAGATTTCAGGAAGACAGGAAACGGAAGAGGTGGGGCCAAGGCGGGATGAGCCCAGGGTGAAGCCTCATTGAGACGGCCCAGGTGGGTCAGGGAGGTAAACGAACTTAACAATTAACCCAGGTAAAATGAGCCAGGCTGGGAGCGCTCCATTGTATCATTTTCCTTATATCAGTTACTTAAAAGTATCTGCTGCCCCAAAGCTCCAATGGTCCCTGAGACATTCTCTCATTTTATTAAACTCTTGGCACATGGTACCCACTTTACGGAGGGTGAAAACAGGGGCCCTGGGGGATGAAGGGACATGCCCAAGGTCGTGAGCTGGGCATGGGTTGGGGTGGCAGCAGCTGGAGCTGAAAGCAACTGCTGGATTTTCTGCTTCCTTCTCTACGCTGGGCCTTTCAGCCAAGTGAACAAGGAGCAAAGTGGCTTCTTTTACTCTGTTCTCAAGAGGGAGAACGGAACGGGGTGGGGGGTGGGGGGTAAAGAAATGCCCAGGTCCACCCCACCCAGGGTCATGGCCACCGTAGTGGGTTGGATTGTGTCCCCCAAACAACGTCCAACTCCCAACCCTGGGCACTTGTGAATGGGACCCTATTTGGAAAAAGTCTTTGAAGGTATAATTAAGGATCTCAAGAGGGGGTCATCCTGGATTTAGGGTGGGCCCTAAGGCCAGTGACAAGTGTTCTTACAAGAAGAGGGAAAGAAAGACACAGGCACACAGAGGAAGGCTGTGTGAAGACACAGCAGAGATTGCAGTGATGTGTCTACAAGCCAAGGGATGCCAAGGACAGCGGGCAGCCACCAGGAGGGCGGCAAGGAACAGATTCTCCCTCAGGGCCTCCAAAACTCGGAGGATAAACTTGTTTTAAGCCACCCAGACTGTGCTGGTTTGTCAGAGCAGCCCCAGAACACCAAGACGGGGGTCCCAGGAACTTCTGGGGGTGGGAAGTGGGGAGGGCATCTGGCTCTCAGCTGGACAGAGCTATAGCCCAGCCCTTTCCTAAGCCCAGAGAGGCGGGGTGATTTGTCCAGGGTCACACAGCACGCCTGTGAAACCCCAGCACCAGGACCTAGAACTTGACAGTGCCCGTCATACCTCCTTCCTCCCTGGGTATTTCCCCGCCCATGCGAGATGGGAGTGGAGGTGCAGCTCCGTCAGCTAACGGCTGTGGACCCCAGACGAGCCACCTGCCCCCTCATTTCCCCCCAGCCGAGCGGTAACCATGGGACCCGTCGCCATGGCTAGGTGGGCAATGCAATAGATGAACGCAGCTCCCAGTCAGCAGAAGCAGCTTTTATTCTGACCTGTCTGGAGGCCCCAGACATCAGCTCAGCGATTACCTTCAATGGTGCCCCATTTGGTTTTCCTTCCAAGGATTCTCTTCCCGTTCACTTGGTACTCATGGTCACTGCCCACCACGGCAAACGGGATCATTTCCTGGGGGAAGGGCAGGCAGCATTGGTCACGCGAGCATGCAAAGGCCAGTCCACTCCCTGGGCCCCTGGGTGGAGCTGCCCGGAGTCCAGGCCCCCAGCACTAAGACCCTTGGCCTGAGAAGGTTGCATGTGAACACTGGCACCGACTCCTCCTAGCCCAGAAAATAACGTTCTCATGGCTCAAGGCCTTACCACCCGTTTCCCAGCACACCCTGGATGGGGTGAGAAGACCCCCACCCATGTCCTCTGGCAGGAAGTGAGAGGCCTCTGGGAACAGCATCCTGGTCAGTCCACTCACTCGGAATTTCTCGTTCACCAGCCGGTCCTCTGAGTCCTCGTCAAACTCCTTCTGGGGGTACACGTCGATGCCGTTGGACAGCAGGTCTGCAGTGATCTGGGGGTCCAGAGGGGAGAGATGCGGGCACCGTCCACGCAGCAAGCTGGACAAACCCAGCTTTGGGGGATCTGCTCATGCCACAACCTCCACGAAGTGAGTGGCCCCAGGCTCGGGATCAGGGGTGGGCTCTGGGGGGCTGGTGACACTGCTACTCTCCAGTTCTTGTGCCTCCCGAGTGGAGGAAGGGCAGCTGCAGACCTGCCTGCCAGGAGAGAACGCAGCCGCCCAAGGGACCCGGGTCTCTGTCCCGGGTATCTCCCTGTCCTTGTCCCCCAGCTCATCACACCCCAAAGAAAATCACTCAGGCTTGCCGAATCCTCCCCTCCCTGAGCTCTACCTCTCACTGCAGCTCACCAGCCTGCACAGGTGCACCTGCTTGTGTTAAACCATCACCACCCTTTGCAGCGACAGCTACCCACATGGATGACGTTCAGTGATAACATCCCTGTGAACAACTGTCACTTCTGCCCTGAGCGCAAATGCCTGTGTGCAGCCTTGGGAGCTCTCTCGTTCCTTTTTCCTCCAGACACACCCATTACCAGGACACCGTCCTCCCCTGAGCATGCTGGGAAAATCCCTGGCACCTGGGCTGTGAGCGGAGGCCCGCGGGGCGGTTTGGTGGTGGGGGGGGGGGGGGGGGGTGAGGAGGGCGGAGCTTTGGGGATTAGACTGAGGGGCCTCCTTGCTCACGCCCACTGAGGCGGAGGCTCTGCGGGGGCCCAGACACCTGGGTTTTTCAAGTTCCCCAGGTGGTTCTGACATGCGGCCCTGTTAGGAAGAAGCGGCCCAGGGCTCACCCTCTTGCTCGGACAGCGGCCCAGAGCGGGACAGTGGCAGAGAAGAAAGCGGCCAGCTGTCCCCTGGCAGAGCCCGTCCCTTCCGGACCATCTCTTCCATCTAATAAAAACCTGGCCTGTTCTGTCTGACTGGCCCTCACCCGCCTCGCTCCCACAGAGGGGCAGGGGGCCAGGGAGCTGGGCAGAGACGGAGCCCTACCCGCTGTTTGAAGTAGACCCTCTCCTCCAGGGTCAGCGTGTCGGCCTTGGCGATGACGGGGACGATGTTGACCACTTTGCTCAGGCGCTTCATGAACTCGATGTCCAGGGGCCTGAGGCTGGAGCAGAGAGACACGGCTGAGGGTGTGGCTGGAGGGACGTGGGAAGTGGGGGGCAGGAACGAGGGACAGAAAAAGGAAAAGGGCTCCTGGGACACACTGAGTCCGGGCAGCAGGGGGCGGAGGGGCAGGCCTGCTCCGAGCACCCTCGTGCACGAGCTCCCAAAGCCCCCAGTGTGTCTACTCGGAGAAGTGCTGCCCCTGCCACCGGCTCAGGTGGCCATCGTGCCGTGGGTCCTCGATACGGGGGAGAGGAAGGAGGGATGGGAGCTCACTCGGCCCCAACTCCCGGGACGGGCTGGGAGGCTGCTCTCTGGGGCGGTCCCAGCCCCCCGCCCACAGGCTCCAGTGCGCCTGAGATCTGATGTGGAGAGAGGCTTACCCTCCAGCCCCTCCCTGCCCCCCACCGACATGAAACCTCTTCTCAGCAGGTGTGTGGGCAGGGCCACAGGACCCCCGAATGGCGGGCAGCACGTCCCCACCATGAGCAGAGCTGTGTCTGCTCTCCTCCCCCCGTCAAGGGTCAGTCAGTCGCAGACATGGGGTGGGGCTGAGGCGGGTTCCGGGAGGGGGTCCGAACGAGGAGGGCGAGGGGCCACCCCAGCCCCACGGACCCGGGACCCGAGGGAGGGGACGGCGCAGCGCCCAGCTGGGTCCCTGCGGAAGCAGCAGTGCCCACCCTCAGCTCGCCGGCCGGCTCTGCTTCCCAGCGTCGGCCTCAGTGGAGCAAAGCCTGGACCAGCTGGACCAGCTGCCATGGGGCCCGCGGCTGAGCCCGCTGTCCCCCAGAGGGAGAGGCTCGGCCACGGTCCCTGCTCTGGTGCCGGGCCTGCTCACCCCTGAGCTGACCCTCGTTGCGGGCAGCTCGGGGACTCGGCCTGCTTTCCCACAAAGGCCCCGGCTGAGGCCGGCCGCCTCCTGCCGGGCTCCTTCCTGGACGTGCCTGTGGGGCTGAGGCCCCCAACCCCTGGGCTCCCTGCTCCGAGTAGAACCGAGAGTAGAACAGCTAGAAAGAGCCAGAGCCTCAGGCCGTGGCGACCAGCAGGACGCCGGGCCCCAGCTCTCCCTCTCCGTCCACCCACGCTGCCTCCCCACCCCACTGCACCTGCTGCCCGCTGGGTGCTGGGTCCACCTCGTCCCCACGTCCTGACTCAGGACAAGCCCGAGGGTGTCCACCAGCGGGCAGAGAGGCACCAAGGTATCCGGTGCAGACAGAGCCGCAGGGAGCCAAGGACAAAGGGTCTATGAGGCCATCAGGAGCCCAGCTGCCCTACGGGGGAGACCACCCTGCTCACAGGAGGCAAGGAGACCCCCCCACCCCGGCTCCGGGGCACCCAGCGCAGGCCAGCCTCGCTGACCCGTGCGTGCACCTCTAGCTGCAGACAAAACCCGCAGGAGAAAACAGCTCTCACCAAGGTGGCCTTGACCGACAGCCCTCGTCCAGCCCTGCCGGGGGCCAAACCCATTCTCTGTGCTTTAAACCCTCCTGGTGGTCCCCGCCGGGGACTGTTATCACACCATCATCACCCCCCTTAGGGACCGGCAGCCACCCTGGAAGAGCGGGTAAGTGCTAAGGACACACAGCCAGAGTCTCAACCCGCCTGCCAGGCCTACCCGAATGGCCAGCCTGAGAAGGCAGGTCCCAGGCCCCGAACCATCCTGGGCCCGCCTGGTCCTCCACCCTCCCAGGCAAGCTGGATGGTGGACAAGTGGGTGGGATGTGGTACGGGGGCAGAGGGAGACTGGGGCACACAGGCTGCTGACCACAGCCCACCCAGCCCTTCTGCACGCAGGGCAGCCCAGCCCCGGGCCTCGGCTGTGTGCACCTACGAGTGGCCGGTGGCGGGGATGAAGTACAGGCAGCAGTGGACGCGCGTGTCTGGGATGCGCTTCTTCCGGTTGATGTTGACCTCCTCCTGCAGGTACTTCTCGTACTGGTCATTGATGAACTTCATGATGGGCTGCCAGCTGCATCGAGAGGCCCCAGTCAGCCTGCAGCGGGACACCCACCACCCAAGCTGGGGGACAGGCCCCCGTCCCCACCCGCAGGTCCGTAATTCCCCAAGTCCCAGCCCAACGCCCGTACACGTGTGGAGGTGTCTGACATTCCAAGCAGAGACCCGCACTAGCCTCCCATGCTGACCTTTGACCTCATGGGTCGGGGGGAGGGGCAAGATTCCCAGCAGCCCCGTTAGAGCTCTTCCACCCGGGGAAGCGGCCCCCAGAGCCCCTCACCAGTTCTCATTGTTGATGTGGTCCCCGAACCCCGGTGTGTCGATGACCGTCAGCTTCATGCGGACGCCCTTCTCCTCGATATCTGCACAGAATCCCAGCCCCACCGAGCTCAGGGGGAGACCCAGGACCCGTACAGACACCCAGCCAGGCTCCCTGACCACCCTGCCCCAAAAAAGCCCACTTGGGGGCGCCCGCAGGGTGATGCCAGGGAGATGACAGCCTGCAGCAGTAAAGTCCAGCAGAGCTGATGACACTTATCCTGGGCACCCCCTGCCCATGATTTTTGGTGGAAAACTCAGCTATCTCCGGGGGCTCTGACCAGGGCCTGCAGGGGTCCCGGAGAGCAGCCCCGACCCCTCACCCTTCGTCAATGTGCCCAGAGGTGTTGCCGAGAGTCACCAGCTCAGGGGACCTGAGGTACCCAACTTGGCATCCCTCCGCCCAGCCCCCGCCCAGCACTAACCGTGTGTGATGGACTTGATCTCAATGGTCTTAGGGATGCGTTCCTCCGAGGTGGGCTGCACTGACTTCCGGCTGATTTTGGATTTGAAGAGGGTGTTGATCAAGGTGGACTTTCCCAAGCCACTCTGCCCTGGGGAGAGAACGGGGCTGTTTGGCGTGGCGCTCCAGAGAGGGCAGGTCACGGGCCTGCGATGCAGTGATGCCTGGGCGTCGCCCCCCAGCACACCTTGGTTGGGGGTGGGTCAGGGGGAGGTCAGGAGGCAGGAGGGTGCCTGGGTGGTGGCCGAGCTCTCACAGTGCGTTGTGGCAGAGCAGGACACGGACCCCTCGCCTTCTGACCACAGGGATGGTCAAACTGCCCCATGCGAGGTCCTGGGGTGCCCGGGAGGAGCTGAGATGCAGAACGGTGTTGGGGAGGCAAAGTGCGGGGCTGGCCCCTCCAGTGCAGATCCACTCTTAGCTGTTGGGCATACTGGGATCGACATGGGGTTTGAAGGAAAAGCCCTACAGAGCCCCCCACCCTGGGACCTCAGGATGGAGGGTCTGCATCCCCCAGGGCCGGGCTGCCCACACTGTGGGGCTCCAGTCCAAAGCCCTGGGGGCCGGGCTCCCCGCCTCCCAGGATCATCTCGGTTGAAGAGTTGGCACACTCAGGACACACAGCCTGCAGCCACGTGACCGCCAGGCTCCGTAAAAGGCCACTGCTGCAGTTCTTCCTGGCACAGGAGGCCTGACCGGGCCCCTGGACACTGGGCAGCTCTGCCTCACTGCCAAGGGCAGGGACAGCGCTGACCAGTGCCCACATCAACAGACCTGGCAGCTGAGGGGCCGAGGGGCCAGTGAGCCCCGGGGGCATCAGCCGCCCCCCGGTGTGGCCCCAGCAGCGATTCTGGCCTGGCTGTGAGCCCAAACCTCACGTCACCCACAGTCCCCTCCTACAGCAAGAAGAACGAGGGCTGAGGGCACAACAGGGAGGGGACCTGGACTCAGTCGTGACTGGAAGGCCCCCCCTCCTGCTCTAAATCACCCTGAACCTAGGGTCCGCCTCGCTGCTGCTGCCCCACGTCTCGCCCACGCAGCCCTCGCTGTGCGCCAGGCACTGTCCTAAGAGCGGCAGTTTAACCCTCACAAGCAGGTGCTGTCATTAGCCCATCAGACAGATGAGGAAAACTGAGGCCAAGTCCAGACTGAGGATTAGAAGCAGCAGTCCAGCTCCACGGCCCCGGCCAGGACCTTCCACATCGGGGGTTAATAGCGGCAATGGCCACTGACGCCTATAAGATGCCTACTACGCACCGGGCACACCCCAGCACCATGCACACGTGCACACACATGCACGCACCCGCATGCGCACAGGCTCACACACTCCAGACTGGCAGCCCCATCACTTTGCCTCTGCGCTGAGCTGGCCTTAGGCCATGGTAACCAAAGTTATTTTTAAAAATTAAATCACACTGATTTTCCAACTTTGATAACCTTTCAAGGAAAAGTGTGAATCCCCCAGAGGGTGGCGTCGGGAATCCCTGGCCTGAGCTCTTTACCAGCCCGAGGACTGGCCCTCCTCCTCCACCATCTCCCCTTCTGCCCGATGGTTTTGTGTCCCCACCAAGCTCAGGCCAGGGGCTACATCCAATATTCCAGCCATGGCCCCTGACACCTGGGAGATGCCAACCAGGATATTATAAAGTTTATCCTGTAATTATTATTATTTTTATTACCACCATCCTCATAATTGCTTCTGAAATCTTCCTGAGTGCCCATGACCATGCCAGGGACCGAACACGTTCTCCCATGTGCCCCTCCTGGCCCTTGGGGGCCAGGACTATCCCATTTTATGGATGAGGAAACTGAGGCTGAGACAAACCCCAGGGAAGTCTGGGCAAGCATCAGGCAGCTCAGCAGGGGCAAGGCTGGGATTCTCCCCCTGTCTGCAGACCCCCCCACAGGCGCCCTTCCACCCTGGCTGCATCTTCTGCGGGGGCACTGCTGTGGGAAGGAGGGCGGAGACGTGGAGCCCGCATTGTGAGCTGAATGACCTCATCATGCCCGCCTGTAAAATGGGCGCTCCCTTCACAGGGTTACTGTGAGGACTGAACAGGACCTGAGAGTCTTCGGGAACAAGGGCTGCCCACTGTTCCCCCAGCCTAGCCCCCCAACCCTGTCTGGGCTGGGCTGATCAATGACCACCCCCTCCCCGTGACCATCCATCCAGCTCTGCAGAGGCCGCAGGGGACCCTCCAGCCAGGCCTGCTGGGTGCGGGGGTCACAGCCCACCCAGGGCTTGAGCCACAGCGATGGGGATGCCTCAGCAGAAGGTAAAAGCAGAAGGTGGAGGCCACTGGTCAGAGAGCTGTCGTCTCCTGAGCCCCTGCCCGGCCCGGGGCCGAGCTGTCTCCGGGGTTCTTAATGTAATGGGCAGAGGCCCTGCTGAGGAGCTGATGGAGGCTGGGACCCTCCTGGCGGGCACGCGTACACACACACAACGCCACTCGCAATCTGTCCTGCAGGCCAGGTCTGTCGCCCCCATTTTACAAGAGAAGATGCCCCGGAACCTGTGTGGCTGGCCCGGGGGCAGGCTGAGCAGTGGTGGGGACCGGGGACTCACCGACCACCATGATGTTGAACTCGAAGCCCTGCTTCATGGCCTTCCTGCGCATCTGCTCCAGGATGGAGTCGATCCCCACGTAGCCGAAGTCCACGGGGGCCTTCTCGTTCCTCTGCGCGGGCGGCTGCTTGAGCCCGGCGTCTCTGGGGGTGTCGGCCATGTCGCCAACGCTGCCGGGAGCTGCCTCGGTGGCTGCGGGACGACGAGCGGGCGCGTTAGGGGGTCACGGGGGACACGTGCAGGTGTCCTCTAAGCCCCCACATCCTCAGGTGGGGAAACTGAGGCTCAGCTGCCCGGGAGACCCCTGAGAAATGCCCCGGAGCTGGAGCCGGAGGCCCAGGTTGTCCTGCAGCCACTCAGCTTGGCCCACAGAGCCTCACTCCAGATCTGAAGCCGCCAGCCCTGCCTAGGCTGGGGCCCTCCCCTCCAGGGCAGGGCTGACCCCTGAACCCTCCTCTATCTCACCTGAGCTGCACCCAGGAGAACTAGCCTGCGCACGGCGGGGAGCGCTCTTTGCCCCCCACCCTCCTGCCCTGCCCGGGGCACCCAGGTGGGCCCCCCCCATCTCCTTCACCTTTGGCCCCAACACCTGCTGCAGCCTGACGGCCGAAGGGGCCCTGGGGGTCAAACAGCCAGTGTTTGGGTGAACCCATGAGCCAGGACAAAGGAGAGGACAGCCCTCTGAAGGAAGGATGGAGGGGGCCGGCACTGGCTCAGTCCCAGGTACCAGCCAATAGCCCTGGAGCGGCAGGAGTGCTGGGACGAGGGGCGTTCTTTCGAGGCAGGAGGGCCTGGATGCAGTGCTAGCTCCTCCAGGCCCAGCGTTCCTGGGAGACGGCAGGAAGGAGAGGGCCCCGGGCAGCACCTGGGGGCACTGCCCCCCGCCTCCCCCCTCCTTGGACTAGATCCAGGTGGCCATCTTCTCTCTGGCCGCCCAGCACCTGTGGGCCTCACACCCACAGGCCAGGAGGAGGTTTTGCTTTCATGTCTGCGAACGGGCTGAGCTGCTCGAAATACCTCAAGCTTCTGCGGTCTACATATAGGTTAGAGCCTTCCTCCTTTCCTCCCGTGCTGCCCTCAAGAATCCACATGCCCAGGTTGGAGGTCTGGGGGTGGGGGGATGCCCCCCAGAAGCCCCCCAGTGGGGACCTGAGGTGCACCCGGCCAGCAGGGCTGGTCAGGGCGCTCAGGACAGTGCAGGGTCCCCACCAGGGTCCGGGTGGAGCACTTTGGCCGCGTCCCACTGAGCCCCCGACGTGGCACATGCCCAGGCCACACCCTCCCCGGCTGGCCCCCCAGCTCCCCTTCCCTGCCCCCTTGGGTCCAAGCTCTTCCCACTAAGAAGCATTTTCGGCTTCATCCTACCTCCCAGGAAGGATCACCGTCTCTCCTCCTGGGGCACCCTGAGCTCATGGGAAGCGACCACACAGCGAGTCCAGATGCCTCCCCCGGCCCCGCGAGCCCCTCCCGCCAGCCCTTGGGGAGAGGCTGTCGGTTCCCTGGGCATCGGCTCCGGGTGCCCCATGCTCCAGGGGGCGTGCCCCACCGCCAGGGTGGGCAAGCGGCCTTCCCAAACGTGCCCTCCTGCCCACCCCCTCCGACCCTGCCCCAGGAAGCAGCAGGACCCAGGTCGCCAGGTCAGGAAGGTCACTGCTGGGCTTTCAGATAAACTGCCTTTCCACTTCCCGGGGAAAAAAACGGACTCTACCCCGTCCCCAGGCTCGCACCTCTGCAGACACATCTGTCTTCAGGAGCCGAGATGGGGGCCAGCACCCTCTCCTCCCACGCCGAGGCCCAGGCCAGTAAGACAGGAAGGATGATGGGCACCGTTTGCTTACAAATCCGAGAAATTGGGGTGTTGCTGGTTCATCCTCAAGTCAGCCAGTAACTTCCCCATCTCCTCTGCCCTTGACCAAGCACAGCCATTCCTGCTTCCCACAATGGGGGTGCTGAGCAAGGAACATAACGCAGATAAAAGCGCCAGGGGTTGCCAGGGGCGCAAGCATCTCTCCTAACAACAGGCTGATGCTTGAGGCTTCGGTTCCAGGTCCACCCCCACCACCGCCCTAGGCCAGGGAAAGGCGAAGGGCCCAGTGGGGGTTCAACCGCCATTCGCGGGCCTCCTCCCTGCATGGCCTGGAAGGTCTGTGCCTCTGTTCCCTCTTCAGAAACACTCTGCCCCGGGCTCCGGCATCTTTAAATAAACAAAGACCAGAGCTGCATCTGGCCTGAACGTGTGGCTTTGGGGCTGTTTCCTGGAGACAGACGTGGGGCCTTGTCTTTCAGGACGGCAGTTCAGCCCTGCCCCACGTGACCGAAAATTGCTTCCATCTGTCTGCGGGTCTGGGAGCCATTCTGCCCGGGACTGGGCCAGCCCCCCACCCCACCCCTACATCTCCCTCCATCCCTCACCCCCCCTCCCGAGCAGCACAGGGGGTGGGGTGGGGGGCGTCCCCTGAACCCCCTCACTTCCCTCCACGGGCCCTGGGAGCAGCAGAGCGAGAGAGACTCCAGCCGGCCCCTCCACAGGCACCAACAACCACTGCAGAAACTCAAACCAAAGCAAACATCCTGCCCACCAGGGCCCTGCTTGAGAAATAATCATAAAAACATGACAAGCACCACCCCACCCGCTGAGGGAAAGGCCTGGCCTTTTGCACAGGTGAGGGTACATTCCTGCAAGGTCCCTCCTCCTCTGGGAGGCCCCCTGGTGGGCAACCCCAATTGCACCCACCCAGATGGCCCACAGACGCGGGACCCTCCCTCTATGCCCACCCAGCCAGGAGGCTTTGGGGTCTGCCTTCAGAACCGTGCGGGCGAGAGCAGAGGCCCTGGCAGGCCAGCTCGCCCAGAGACGCTGTCTGCGTGCGACCCCTTGCAGGCCCCCGGGGCTCCAGTCGGCTGGATGGGACGGCGGAGACCAGCGACTCCAGTACCATCCAGTGTGGCAGCCACGTGTGACTTTTCAAAAATTGTGATTAAAATGTACATAACACAAAATGTACCATCTTAACCAATTTTAAGTGTGCAGATCAGGAGTGTTGCAAAACTGAACCTGTCCTCATTAAGCACGAACCCCCCAGTCCCCATTCTACTTTCTGTCTCTATGAATTTAACTACTCTGGGTAGCCCATGTTAAGTGGAGTCATACAGTATCTGTCTTTCTGTGGCTGGCTTGTTTCACTGAGCTTAATGCCCTCAAGGTTCATCCACGTTGTAGCGTGTGTCAGGATTTCCTTCCTTTTGAAGGCTGCGTAATATTCCACTGTGTGGATGGACCACAGTTTGCTTCCCCATTTGTTCCTTGATGGATACCCGGGTTGCTTCTATGTTCCAGCTCCTGTGAATAGTGCTGCTGGGAACATGGGTGTACAAATATCTCCTCGAGACCCTGCTTTCAAACCTTTCAGGTGTAAACCCAGAAGTGGGATTGCTGGGTCAAATGGTAATCGTATGTTTAATTTTTTGGAGAATCACCAACTGTTTTCACATGTGACTGGCGTGCTTGAAATGCACCTGGTCCAACGGAGGATCATAATTTTTTATTTAATTTAATTTTAATTAATTTCAAATAAAGAATGACACAGGGTATATGGCAACTATACTGGACAGCACAGAATTCTTGTCCAACCTACTCATTTTACAAATGAGGAAACTGAGGTCCCCAGAGTGATGTTTTTCTGAAATGCATTGGAAGCGGTCTGGCCAACCTGAGACCTTCACTGAATTTAATCAGCCCTGTAACTTCACATTCACTCCTGCGATATTTGATTAACATCCATGTCCCCCCACAGACCGTGAGCTCCAGTGACTATGGCAGTGATATGTATGGATTCCCACTGAGCCTCCAGAGACCTACAAGGAGGGGACACTCAACCAATACTCCTGAATGAATGGGGTCTTAGGAGTCTCCCCTCAGCGTGGGGTGGGGAGCACAGGGAGGAGGGCTGTGCTGCCCCAGGCTGCCTGCAGACCCTCCACGAAGGCCAGACGCCACCTCCTGACTCGCCCCCCAGACCTGTGTCCAATCCACCTCCTCCAGTGAGCTGCCTGCGGCTGAGGCCTCACCCTCTTCCCCATGGCCCTGTTATCTGTTTTTGTTTCACACCTAAACTTCATCAAATGCTATTAATAGGAAAGGGAAGTTCTTACTAGAAAAATAAGAGGTTTCACATTTATGTCCAAGGTGACTCTCACTTCAGGCAAGTAGAGCAAGAGGGAGCCCTGGTCTTTAAATGTGGAAAACTCACGCTCAGAGAAGTTAAGTAACTTATCCAAGGTCACACAGTACGAGCTGCTGCTACTTTTCACTGCTCCTACTTGGGAACCCCTTGGGAAAGGGGATGGTGGGGTGGGGGGGCGGTGTGTGGACCACCATATCCCCTCCTTCCCAGAGCCACAGTCTGAGGAGGAAATGTAGGTTTGTGGTGGGGGTGGTGACCCCTGGGGCAGCCTCACCCCTGCTCCACCGGGTCGGCCACTCTGGGTCAGTCGCTCTCTCCCCAGGCTCCCAGGCCCAGGGCAACATCCCTGCCCACCACAGCACCACCCTCCTCTGGGGAAGAAAAGCCCAAGTGACCACCTGGGGTTGGGGTGTGTGTGGTGACCTTAACACGCCAGTTTACGCCTTCCCTCCACTTCCTAATCACTTTCTTTACTGCAGTAACAGACACAACGTACAACCTTGACCATTCTGACCATGTTAAGTATTTGAGTCCGCGTCATTAAATACATTCAGGATGGCACGTAACCACCACCACTACCCACCTCCGAAAGCCTTCATCATCCTGGACAGAAGCTCTGAGCCCATCAAACACTAACTCCCCCTCCCCCTATAGCCTCTGTTCTACGTTCTGTCTCTGTGAATCAGACTCCACTAGGAACCTCAGAAAAGTGGAGTCATGCTGTATTTGTCCTTTCGTGTCGGGCTTCTTTCACTGAGCATAATGTCCTCGAGGTTCCTCCCTGTTGCAGCCTGTGTCACAATTTCGTTCCTTTTTACGTCGGAATAGTACTTCATTGTTTATCCATTCATCTGTCCATGGATGCTTAAGTGGTTTTCACCTTTTGACTATGATGCATGATACTGCTATGAACATGGGTGGACATGTGTCTGAGTCCCTGCTTTCAATTTTTCTGGTATCCAGCTTAATTATTAACAGAACCCAGGTGGTGCTCAGAAAGGTTGCAGT